CGTGTATTTTGTTGAGTATTTTTAGGTTTTGCAACTGTAGCATACTTTTGTAAAGTTTCTATACAAGGACGGTTATATGTTTCTTTAAAAGTGGATGATTTTGAAGGTTCTTTGTATATTTCAGAAAGTTGTGCATTTTCTATATGACTTAACTTTTCTTTTAGTTCGTCTAAAATAACAGTATTATTTTTTGAAATCAATAATTCGGAAGCTTTCATAAAACTAGCCATGTTAATATAGAGAAAAGGAGAAATAAGCTTTTAAAATTAAATTTGGGGCTTTTTATACAATATTAGACTATTAGACTATTAGTAAGCTTTGATTACGTAAATGACAGGGGATAAATCAATTATATCCTGGCTAATTGGAATAGTAAAATTTTACTTTAGAATCGGAACATGATCGGCCTATCGGCCGATCATTTATCCGATCCTAGTAAAATTTTACTTATTCCTAATTAGCCAGGATATAAGTAATACATATCTGACAGCACCCTAATTAATCAACTAATTAATAAATCTGATTAAATTTACTGTAACTACGGTTTAATATATTATAAGCTGATTTTGATCAGTAATATTTTATAAATTGACTATAAATTATATATGTTAAAATTTGGATGATAATTGGCCAATTTTTAATAACTTCTAAAATTAAGCCAAAATGTATAACAGATTTGCTGAATTTTTGCTGATTTGTTACATGACCAGAAGTTTTAATTTTGACCAGTAATCATAATTAGTCTAAGAAGATTAAACATTATAAAATTATTGTAATGATTAGTTGGATTTGATATATATAATTATTATCTGTTCAAAAGATGGACTCTTCAAAGACAGATTGCATATTTTGAAAAAAACTTGAGATATTTAGTAATTACAATTAAAATAATACAACTGAACAAGAAATACCAGCCTTTTGCATTAAATTTAATATGCATTATCAGGAGAGGGAAGATTTTCAGATATATGTTCAGTGCATCAGTTCGTTGCAAACTGGAATTGAAGAACAAATATGCAATCAACATGAGAATGAAAAGTATAAAGATACTGGCATCTTCTCCAAATTTTGTACTAACAGACAAAGAATTAAGGAGATGCAAGCATCCTTTGGAGAATTGCATAGAGTATGTGTCTTGAGAGATGCTAAGCAGGCAGAAGAAGAATTCAGAGCAAAAATATGTAATTATGTACTTGCAATGCATGGCAATGAAAACAATGTTTGTAAAAGATCCATATGCATATTGCCAACAGCTAGTGAACAAGTTGGATTGGAAGGGCTGAACGGTAGTTTGTATATGGTAGTTGATACGTTTGTTGACGAATCTGTCCGTCGCAATTTAGCATCTTCTATTTTGTGTGATTTACCTACCAATAGTGCTGATCCAGAAAAGCTTGGCTGTTACTATAAATGCATCGCAGAATTTGGATTTAACCATATTATTGTAATTGGAGAAATGTTATATGGGTTGCTCTTTATTGATTGCTACGGACGGGTTTTTCAATGGGAGGATATGGAACAGGTATTATGGCCAGTAGGGGATTCATTGGAAGATATGAAGCCATATAAAGATCTTGTCATATGGACTGTAGAAGATGGTGTTGTATATGAAGAATCTAAAGGTATATCCATAGGCATTGTTATTTTTTATTTAAAATTAATACTATTATTTCTTGGCTGTGATTTAATAATAGGAGTAAAGATGTGGGATTTTCTTTTTAATTAACTTTCTTCTTTTTAGATTCTTTAAAACCAAGTTCAGTTAAAGGTATAAAAAACAATCACTCAAGGAAGAAAAAGAAAAAAAAATAATGGAATTAAAGATGACTTTATAAAAAAAGATATGATCAGAAGATTAGAAACAAAAATAATATTAAATAATATCTGCTATTTTACATTGTAATAATTCTATATCCAAAACAAAAATAATATAATATCTGCTTGTAATTGCTAAATATATAATTTAATTCCCCTATTCAAATTATCAAATAAAGCTTGATAATTGAAATATACAATTCAGAAAAGTTTATTGTGATCTACTTTTCGTACGCATTTAAACCATATAATATCCTGACATTAGCAGTGATTCCTGAACCGAGCGAACTGAAATTAATAATTATTACTTATAAGCCAGCTAAATCAGTTTTGAACACGCTATACTTTATAAACCAACAATTGTACCCAAAACCTTTTCATACCATGACACAATATTTTGATATGCCTCAAGACTTTTACCTAAGGCTTTCTTGTTGAACTGGATACCAAAAGTATCGAATCATTTTGCATCTGCCCGTAATCATGTGAAAATTTATCTAAAATTTAAATGTGGAGTTACATATATTAATTATAGAAGATCGAAGCTTTTGGATGCTTGTATCCTTTCCGGAATAACAATTTCCAGGTTTTGATCATACCATACTTCGAAAAGAAAGATTCCACTATCCAGACAAATGCATCTTTTTTGCTGATCATGATTAACAATGTCTTCGAGTTTTTTGACATCTTTATACCAGCTAGTGCTATGAAACCGATACTGAGCCCCTTGCACCTCCAATGCAATTCAATATTTTTGGAAAAAGGCATCAAGTTCTAATCCATTCATGAAAGGAGGGCAATATTCGATCATAGATTCCTCATTAAGAATTTCCTTAGCTATCTGGATGCATCTGGTCTGGAAATTGCGATTTTTCTTGGATTCCAGTTCTGAGCCTTGGTCTCAAGAATTAAAGCCTCAATACTCTCAAGATGGTCTGGGTATTGCGAACTAAGATGTTTTAATTTTACTATATAACCCTCAAAATCTGTGTAATGTTTTTTGGTAGATTTTAGAAATTCGCCTTAAACTCGGCTTTCTTAGTCTTAAGCTCAGCATTCTCAGCCTCAAGTTCAGTGATACACTGTTTCAATACTTCAAGCTCGGATAACGTGATCTATATATAACTAACACACTGCATATAAGCATTCAAATAAAAAATTTTGCGGGACCGCGCGGTCTCGGAAAATTGCCAAGAAAAATTTCTTATTAATACATGCGAAAAATAAATACAAATGTTTTGGGACTTTGCCCGGGATACATCATGACGTTTCTATGCTAGACTGCTAGTGTCCTATACAATTACTTTTTCTTTGATTATCTCTTCTACATGGCACTTCTTATTTGTGGGTTCTTCACTAGCTGATATTCTATCTTTTAACAAACCCACTATAACTTCCAAAACCCTCTTCACATTCTTGCGTAATTCGGTTGGATTTTGATGGCGTCTGAAATTGTGAAACGAGTTAATGATGCAAAAGCGAAACAGAAACCTTCACTAGAGTCATTTTCTCACCTGTTGTGACGATACCATAGACATATTCATACTCGGAACCGAATGCCTCGTCGGACTTCCGCTTTTTCTTGAGCATGTTTAAGTTCATCTATATCGATAATATCAGTTAGCACATGTACAGAGCGAGAAATAAAAAATCTACATTACTTACATCACATGAACTTTTACATTGCATAAAATTTTGAGCCACCGGCTGGTTTTTTGCTTCCCTTCAGTTATGCAAATTATTTCTTCGAATAGACCGTCTATGATTTTTTGATTGCATAATCCAAGGTAAGATAAGCAAATCTTTAAGAAGACTGACAGCTGTGTGAAGGATTGTTGAAATATATTCACAGCGCATAGCCTCGTTGCTGTCAACAACTGGACCCATATTTTTTTATTTTGCGAAGAATGTCATCAATGCAAAGCTTAAACTCCGGAGAATTTTTCTCTATAGGGTGGGGGTCTATAAATGGAATTTGTAAGTCTGAAATTTGTTAAAAAAGTTGGCATGCATATAACTTACCTAGAGCAACTGAGGTATGCTTGTTATGCTATCACTATTAATGTCATATTTCGCCAATATCTCACTTAAACTGCGGTACGAGGAGAATGGGCGCTTCGTATTGTCTTTGAGGGTCTAGACCTCTTTTGCGAGAAGTGTTGCTGGTTCCAACACAAATCCAACACTACGAAAATTTTCTTCGTTCAGGTCAAGAAAGGAGAGGCCGGTAATTTTTTCTTTGCGAAGAATACTGAAGTCGTCATCGTCGAGCTTGAGGTTTTGTTCTTTCAAAAAATCGATAAGGGTTTCTGTATCCCAAAGTAAGAGTCGTGTTCAGCTGTTGAGGTAGACATAGCGCTTTTTATAAGTAGTTGGCTCGGATAAAAAAATAGTGTTACGTTCCGGAGTGAGATAAAAATTTATTTCTGTTCGGCAAGGAAAGTATTGGGCGTTAATAAAGGTTTTTATGTCGCACTGGCATTACCTCAGGATAAATTTGATTCATAGATTTCATATTTAAAAAATGCAATTAACTTACGTAATAAGATTTACTAGGCGGACTACTTAAAAAGGAAAATTTGCACGCTACGAGCTTTTTTATTATTGAAAGTTTTTGAAAAACCAAATCTTACACGCTATACGAAATATAAATTTAGTGATAACGTTTCTTGTGTCTTTTTAAATTATAATCTAGTGTTCAACAATTGGACAATTGGTGAAGCGTTAATTACATAATATTCGATATAAAAAACTATATTTACGCGTAAAGAACTTATATTATTATATCTGAGTGTTAACGCGTAAACATGGCTCCGAAATCGCGACCAGATCACCCATTTTGTGCATGCGGTAATCCCGTCCGCTTATGCTATTTTGTGAAGAAGAATCACCCAAGACACAGGGATAGATACTGGGGTTGCCCGAGGAGGTCTTGCGAACATTTTGAGTGGGTGGACCCATATCCGGGAAGATCAACGGGCTCACAGAAGACCCAGTCGAATTCGAACTCCCATGCCACGTCGGCTCGGACTGGAAGTATTGGCATCGAAGAGCTATTTAACGCGTCACCATCGGATGCCGAGTTGGAAAAAAAATATAATTATCCCATTAAAGTGACGTTTAGTGTAGACAATGATGAACATTTTATAGTAAGAGGGTATCATCATATCCTCACAGAGTATTGGAAATCACGAAGAGGTGCCATTTATGACGCGACCAGAAAGGGATGGGTAATTCCCATGACAGAATATGAAAATTCTTTCAGGGAATTAACAAAGTACAAAAAAATACCAATGGAAATTATAGGGGTTTCTGGGTATGTAGAAAAAGCTATCAAATTTAAGGCTGCAAAACCTCACATTGAAGAATGTCAAATTAAAGAAAAAATTGGAAGCCTCTGGGAAGCGTTACTCTCTCACCAAAAAGAAGGAGTGAAAGAAGTCATTGCTCGGAATGGACGAGTTTTACTCGGAGACGATATGGGCCTTGGAAAAACAATCCAGGCTCTTGCTATCGCAGAATATTACAAAGACGATGGTAAGGTCCTCGTTATATGCCCCGCCTCAGTTTCGGGGAACTGGGAGAGTGAGATCAAGAAATGGTTGGGTGCAAAAGATGAAGAAATTTGGATCGTAAAAACCGGAAAGGAGGCGAATCAAGATCAAGCGCAATATACAATCGCCTCCTATGAAATAGCGAAAAAACGCGAAGGTTGGACAGGGCGATTTCAAATCATTATTGCCGATGAGTCGCACTTCCTTAAAGATCGCCAATCAGATCGAACGAAGAAGCTTGCTCCTCTCATGAAAAAAACAAAGAGAGTAGTCCTTCTTTCAGGTACACCGGCAGAATCAAGACCAGCCGAACTTTTTGCTCAGATCAATATTGTTGCTCCGGTGCTATTTTCGAATTATGACGAATATATAAAGCGATTCTGCGGTGGCGAAAGGAGGATGAATAAAGATGGAAAGAGATATATTGATACAAAAGGGGCGACAAATACAGAAGAGCTCCACTGGCTTCTAAATTCGACCATTTTGATCCGAAGGAAGAAGGAGGACGTAAACTTAGGTTTACCTTCAAAGACTCGACAGATAATTCATATTGAGATTCCCGCAACTTCCAAAAGAGAGTTGCAAGAAATGAAAAAAAAAAAGGGGGTAGATAAACCTAATTTCTTGAAGTTGTACGAGGAATCAGGTAGAGCGAAGGTTCCTGCCATTCAAGATTATCTCCTTAGTCTTAAAGATGACAACAAGAAATACATCGTATTTGCTCACCATAAAGACGTAATGGATCAGATTTGCTATGTCTTGCGTAGGGAACAAATCAGATTTATAAGGATTGACGGTCAAACCGATGTTAAAATAAGACAAGACTTTGTTGACAAGTTTCAAGATGAAAGAGAAGTCAAGTTCGCGATTTTGTCCCTTACCGCGGCGAGTACTGGTCTGAATTTTCAAGCTGCTGATGGAGTTATATTTGCGGAATTAAGCTGGAATCCGTCAACAATTGCACAAGGAGAAAATCGCGCACACCGTATCGGTAGAGTCGGCGACGTAGAAATAAAGTATATACTCTCTAAAGACACCTTGGATATGGTTCAATGGCATATGTTAAAGAAGAAATCAAAGGTACTTGGTATAATCTTTGATAACGAAGATAATGTCTCCTTGGACGAAATTAGCGAGGAAGACCATTGGATGATTGAAGCGCTCGGCAAAGAAATGTCAAGTCGGTGCGGTAATGAACTTAATACTCAAGATATCAGAAATTTTTTTACGAATCCCAATGAAGAAATAATCGACGACAATCCCACGAAAGATCAGGAAATTACCGCTGAGAAAGCTGATAATAATCGAGATAAAGGTTGCTTAAAGGCTTGCACCATTTTCGATGAGATGGCTGATAATCTCAACTGGGATTTCGATATTGGTTCTTCTAAAAAGCCTGTATTAGGTGATAAAGTAGAAATTATGGCAACAAATTCAGTAGAATTTCCAACTATTTTCGATATTATGGCTGATAATCTCGATTGGGATTTTGATAAGGATTTAGATCTAAATTTTGACCATGGTGATGCGAAAACTAAAAATTTATCGTTTGCTTTAGAGGACGATGGTAAAGCTATAATAGATAATAATGATTATAGTAATTCAATTAAAGTTGATACCACTACAGATCCCACATTTTTTGAATTAAATGACAACAAGGCTTTAGTTTCGCTAGAACCTTTCAAGAATTGTATTGAAAACAGAGATTCTCAAAAAGAACCAATAACTATATTGGATGATGAATATACTCAGAATATTATAAACATTCATTTTGATTCAACTGTCATTGAAGCGGAGAATAACGATAATAGTGACAAATCCGATAAATACTCGGCAGCTGAATTAGCCAGTTTTTTCAATCAAAGATATAGTGCTGATCCTAGCTCAAAGGAAACTTCATCTCATAATGTTTCAAACGTTTTATTTTTCACAAACGAACTTACAAATGAAGATTATGATCCACGAAATTTATCAGGCTCACAAAATAAACGCTATACTGACGAAAAAGATCAGCGATATGAACTTTATAGCTTATTAGGCTCGAAAAATAAACGCAAAGCGGACGTTTATACAAATGAACCTGATAAAGGTTCAAAAAAAATTCGGCTTGAAACAAATAAAGAGATTAAAATATCACAAATGGCGACAAATATGACAAATACTTATGTTTGTTCGATAGGACGAAAATCTGCATTAGCAACTCAAGTCGTTCAGGAAAGCAAAAGACCTATTTCGGAAGTTCAACCGTTGTCACTAATTAACCAAGTTGCCTATCCAGCAAACCGAGAATCTTTGTTGCCCAGAACTGCAGATCAAGAAGATAATGAACAACAAACCCAAGAAAGACATACAAAGAAATGTTATCGTGATAGAGGCGAAAAATCAAAATGCCATGGAAATCTAGACTTGGTTGATATTAATCGTTCTTCCACATTTTTGTGTTCTCCGCAAAATTATGACTATATTTTAAATTCAAAGTTGATTAATTAACTTTATTTTCTTAATTTAGTAATCTTTAGGGTTTAAGTGCTGTTGGAGTATCTTAATTTTATAAATAATGTAATACGTGATCATTATGTTTTACAATGCAGGTAGATCGATATAAATTTCGCGTCTTAAATTTACAGTAATTATATTTATCCATTTAATAAATAATACTCGTAATGTAAATTGCTGTCGTTTCAAAATCGTAATTTACTAATGCAGGCCGAGCACTTTATAATGCCGGTCAAGATCACGCAGGTGAAAAAGTGACGGTGTTTTTCACAATTCGTGTAACGCTTAAGCAATTTAGGAATGAGATTAGTAAGAACCGTCAAACCATTTTTTCATTGATATGGTAATTTAATTAACATTATTAACACATATTTTATCCCATTTTAGGTAAATCGACCTTTTGCTGATCTACATTACAAATCAAAGAGATGTCGATCGCTTAATTTTCTATGGATATTACAAGAGAAAATTAGCAAACGCATGTCATATTAATAATCAAAGAAATTGTATTTGTAATAATAAAATTAAATAGATTCGAAATCTATAAAACGGGCATTGATTTTCTTTCTTTAAATTTGAAGCGCTAACGAAAAAAAAAATGTCTACTGCTAGGTTGCCTTGTTATTATATTTCTCATGGAGGTAAGTACTTTATATCGCGGGCTAGAGTATCCCGAGGGTTGACTTGCATTACCATATTTAGCAGCCAGAATTGTTAGTAAACTTATATCACATCAATTCATATCATTACTTTAAGGTCCATCAATATTGATTGAGGAAGAGGATATAACCCATCAATGGCTTAAACGATGGGGAAAATTAATTATCGAAGAAATTAGGCCAAAAGCTATAGCCGTCATTTCCGCTCACTGGGAAACAACCAACATCAAAGTAACGAATTTTTCAAACAAAACACCAATTATATATGATTTCTACGGATTCCCACAAATACTCTATCAACAAACATATGATTGCAAAGGTTCTCCAGAAGTAGCAAAGAAAGCTGTTGAGTTATTAACTCAGGTAAAGTTTATTCAGGCAATAAAATTATTTATCAACATTGTCATCACATAGCTTTTGTTTAATTCATTAGGCTGGATTCGAAGTGGAATTGAATGATAAGAGAGGATTCGACCATGGTTGTTGGATACCAATGAAAATAGCAATCCCTGAACCTGGTGATTTGCCTATTATACAAATATCTCTTACTCGTAAAGCATCCTATGAATATAATATTAAAGTTGGTCACGTATTGGCTTCTCTTAGGTAAGTAAAATTTGAAAAAAGATTAATTATTATTTAAAACATTAATTTTGTTTTTCATTTTTTAAGAGATGAAGGAGTTCTTATTGTCGGTTCAGGAAGCTTGGTTCATAACTTAAAAGAAACATTCTCTGCATATAACAAAGAAACGAATACATTTGAAGATTATGTGGCTTCGTACGTTGAACCATTTGACAAGGATATCGAAGAATTTTGTACAAAATCCACTGGAAAAGAACGTGATCAAAAATTGATTGATCTAATTAATCATCCTTTATTAAGACAAGCTCATCCAACAGACGACCATTTAGTCCCTTTACATATTGCAGTAGGTGCTGCTGGGGATGAACAAGGAACAAAATTGCACACACAATATGTAGCTGGTTTAAGTATGAGTGCTTTTGGTTTTGGTTCTGGTGCTAGCGTAAACCCAAACTTATAGTTATCTTATTACAATAAACGTGTTAAAATGTATGCCTCTCTGAAATAAGATTCATTCGAAACTTTTTACACAATATTGCACGATATTAAATTTTAAATATTTTAAATATAAACAAAATGTATTTTTAATATTAGGAAATGATATTAGATGACAATAAAGAAATGATAATTAAGTGAAATAATGTTGGCTATAAGAACATTAAAAATGATATTAGCGATGTGAAATTTGCAGAAATAAGTGCAAAAATGAAAAATGAAAATATTTTTTGTTCAAGTAATATGAGATTAATGATTGTGAGAAATTCTACATAAAATTAATAATACAATAAAAATTATAATATAAAAAAAAATTAAATATTAATGGGAAATGAGTCAAAACATAATACTAAATAGTTAAATTTTATGCCTTTCTTTTAGAGAATGTTTTGTTCAACAATTGTAATAGCTTGGAAACATTAAGTTGAACATATTCAAGATCAAGAGATAGTATGTTATCTTGTTGCTAAAAATAAGCACAATAATAAAAGGGTTAATGCTTTATCATGTATTTTTATTTAAAGTAATTCTTAATAAAAAAATCTATGTACCTTTTCTAGGAGATCGTCTAATTTAAGGTCCATCTCTAAAATTGGAGCATCACGTCCCTTATAATGCAATGCAATAATAAATGTTCCAGGAACAGGTGATGTGATATTGAAAAAAATATTTTGTCGCCTAATTTTTTAAAAATGAAGTTAAGGATATATGAAACATGAAATTAAAAAGTTTTATCTTTATAAAAATTGAGTAACCCACCTATTCTCAGGTACACTCGTTTCAACTATAATTCCATCTTTTTCTAAATTGGTGTGTGTAAATTTGTACGGACCCAAAACCTTTATCTTTTGACTTTTTTCTTTACCGCCCAATTTTACCACACTTGCACCAGGTCCTCCTTTGGCATCTTGTTGTCTAACATTCAGTAAATATGCTTTATAACTATCCAATTGACTTCTTAGATAATTATTATGATCACAGATTGTTTTATAAACAGTCTCAAGAGATTTTATTTCTTCGTTGACCTTTTCTCGAAGATTGCCAAGATGAACTAATTCTTGTGCAACTTCTTCGGTCATAAGTTTATATCCGTCTCTTCGGTTAATCACATGAGCTTCTTCAAGTTCTCGAAGCATTTCTTTAACTTTAATTCCTTTGCGAACAAGAGTGGCATCTTTTGCAGTTGCTGCCATTTCAGCTACCGCAGCCAAATCAATATTTTGTTTATTAGCGACTCGCGGTATAGATCGAATAATTTGCACAAAAATTGATTTCGTTTCCATATATAAAATATCATTTTGTGTCACGTTATTGTCGGACATAAGTGCTGTGGCGATATCTATAAGGTTGAGTGTTGTGTAAATAATATTGTCAAAACATCACAAATAATCACAAATTATCGCAAACCTTGTATAGGTGTCTCCCAACGACTAAATAATGGCAGCTCAACAATTTTATTTTCTTTTCTAGGAACCTGAGCTGGGGCTGTACCAATTTCTTCCAAAATTATGCGTAAATGATTCTTGTCTGATGGTGCCTACATAAAGAAGTTCAAATAAATATTCCCCTAAAAGAATAAATATCAAATTTAAAGAGATTATATATACCAAAACTTCCAAATGTTGTAACAATAATGCATGTGTGTTGTATATCTCATTCAACGTTATTTGTAACATTAAGTCCTTTTTTGAAAGAGCCACATATTGATCCATCTAAAGAATATACATAACATAATTAATAAATAAATCAATATTATTTATAACTCTAAAAATTATGATTTTCAATAGAACGTACTTCTAAACTCTCATAAAAATCGCCCACTTCGCACAATTCCAATAAAAATTTATTTATTCTCTGTTTATTACTCTCAATAAAAGGATTCAACAACATCATAAATTCTTCCTTTGAATAAGAAGGCTTATTTGCCAAATTTTGTATCATCTTGGCAATCTATCAATAAAGAGAAAGAAATAATCATAAATAAAATGCGCTTAAATATATATTATTAAATAAAAATCCATAAAATACCAGAGTCAATGTTCGTATTGGATGTTTGCCTGGATTTCCATCAACTAACATATATGTTTGTGGTGTGACAATGGCTGGATTGACAAATCTCAAGAAGAAAAATCCACCGATTAATGTACATATCATAAATTCTGTTGCATCAGGATATTTTCGCTACAATGTGTTAAAAATAATTAGTGTATAAGATATTCGTAAAATAGGTTAAGTTGAAATGTAAAACTTACCTTCGTTAACGATTTAATTTGTTTACAAATCCATCGAATACCATACGGCACTTGTTCGATAGACTGTATTATAGTTGTGATGAAAGAGTTCGCAATGTCTATTAACATTTTTATGCGAGGTGCTATAATAGCTTGAACATCGGCATTGGCCGCGGCAACATCAGGTGTAACAGCGCGTGGAAGTTCGGGCGGTAATGAACCATTATCTTCCTCGATTTTTTTTACCATCTGTTCATATACTTTTAGTGGATTAATTTCTAAATTTAAGTCCTTACATTCTATCAGACTATTTATTCGTTCCGAAAGCACAGCTTTCAGATAACCCTGCCCAGGGCCTCTACGAGTATATGTTGTCATCATACGTGATACAGGCGTATTTGCTCGAAGGAGAGAATTGAAATCATTTGTGGTTTCAAATTGTGCTGATAGAACAGACTACATGAAAAGAAAAATTCAATATAAAATTTCGTATCTTTTTCACTGTAGACATAAAAACTCACCTGAAACATTGTTAATAATAAATGTTCTTCTCTGCTTTCATATTGATTCCCATACAGTGTAAACATTACAGTTTGAAGCAAAGTATCAATCTCTGTTAAACTTACTAGACGACATAAATTTGCAATATGTCGCGGTTCGGTTTGAAGGAGGAAAAAAAGATTTCCATATTGATTCATTTTACGATGATCTGGGAAAGCAAAAACTTGTTGATCTGATTCTTCAAAATGACTTTCTACTTCTTGTTTCTATATTGTAGATAAATACAAATTTAATTTTTTTTAAAAAATTTTAAAAATCAATTAAATTAAACAACCTCATCTAATGCCATTCTGTTTGCGATTAATAAGGCAATTCGTGAATCCAAATAGCGAACATCTCGTTCCAGAACGAAATTTTTTTTGGATTGTGCTGAAATTCGGCCTTTTAAATCTCGTAATCGTTTTTGTGCTAAAATAAGAAAAAATTTTTGCATAAGAATTGCAATTTGTACTGTATTTTTTCGCGTAATTAAATATATTTCCATTCACAATTCCTATATAAAACACGTAATAATTTTCTAAATAAATGATTATAATTTCATGATAAATTGACGAATATTCAATTCTCCACTAAGGTAATCGTATCACGCGTAGAAATACACATAATTTGAAGTCAATATTCTACCTTTCGCTAAATCATCTTCAACCTCTATGTCCTGTTCTGCAGCCATAGAGTATAGTGCTGTTACAGAATATCTCGTGCTGGAACGGCCAGCAAGAGATCCTGTTGTGTCTCTTCGTTGAGCATTTCTATTTAGGGGACGTGAACCTGGTGAGATGGGAATTCCAAAACTTGCTAAAATGCTTTGACGTTCCATTTGTCGGCCTTTAGTATTTATTGTTTGCTATCCTCTTATATTCCTATGAGTTCTTTAAATAGCTCTTTTGAAGTGCACTACAATGCTCGTATAATTTTTAGTGCAAGTTATTTTCGCTGATGAAAGGTTGGGAAAAGGAATCGTATCTGAAATTTTTTGAAAGTAACTTCTATAATATTCAACATTCTAATAATACGAATTTCGCGGCATCCCCTTTTATAGAAATAACGTCTTATTACTTTCAGAGTTTCAAAAAAAAAGAACAGTCGTACAGTTTTAACTAATTGTTGGACATATACAGATTATTCATTTTTTGACTAGCCGATTTGACGCATCTCATTTGACTATATGAAATACTTATAAAATTACCTGGGAAGTTGGGTTAGACTTAATATATCTCCAAAATCCGCGCATAGTATATTAGTATCCGCAACTTTTCACTTCACGTGATTTATAATTTTGGCCCGAATTATAACCCTAGACGTTAAGTGATGCTAGTAATACTACTCCAAGGGCCTATACTTTAAATACTTTAAAAAAAAGTCAACCCAATAATTTAATTACATTAGTAAGATTTAATCTAAATCTATAAAATCCAATATATATTATTGTTATCTGCAGCACATTCATTAGTTTATTAGAATTTATAATTATGATAAATTACAAATAATATATTTAAAAATAATATTTATATAATAAAAATATCATTTATTTAAAGCAAAGCAGGAATTATATTTCTAAAGATAAATTTTGTTTATTCTTAGCAAAATATTTTTTTACAAAAATCACCTTTATTTTCTTTTTTAAAAATTATTTTTTATATTATATTATTTCTATTTTTGATTTCTTAAAATATATTTATTTTATTAATTAAATGTAATTACTAATTATATATACATTATAACTTTTTACCATATTTTATTGAAATTAAGTACCCTCAAAAATTAAACTTTTCAAAATTTTTTATGCAAAAGTTATATATATTTCTGATAAAAATAATATCAAAAATAAGCACTACCCCAAATTTTCATCCAAAACTCTTGCAAAATGGGGGTGCTTAATTTTGATAAAATACAGTAATTAAAATAAACTTCAAAATTTTTGTTTTTTAAATATTATAAATTAATTTATATAAAACACTAATTATAAAATTTTTTTTTTTTTTTTTTT